CATGTATTTTAACATAGCTGAAGGATCGTTAAAAATCTAGGCAAAAGCCAAAATACCGAGGACTGGGGATAGCATCTTGTGAAGCAGTGATTGCAAAACAGGGGATAGGGAATGAGGTCTGAAAACCTGCTTTGTATGAAATGGCTGACTGACCTCGAGCTTATTGATCAGAAGATGAGGAGGGAGGTTTATTTAGAGCTATAAATTCCTGTCAAATGAGACAAAACCTAAAATCTATAAACATGATGCCCTTCCACATATAGCACTGCTGCTGGGTGAGTGCCCCATTTTACGCTGCCTCAACTTTTCCTAACTTCCTGAAGTACTGCTCCATAAGGTCTCCAAGTGTCTGTTTCCGTCTTAAGCACCATGTCAGACTCGATCTCCAGAGGGAATTACTGTCAAGGTCCCAGCAAGCGGCTGGGTGGCTCCACCACCTACTGGAATTTGATCTCCTGGTCTCTCTCCTCCAGCTCTTTGCTGACCTTGCCAACACAAGTTCCCAGCAGTTCTCACTGCTTTTCCAGGTCTTGTGTCTTTTTTTCCTGGGATGCCATCTTCTGGTTTTCTCTGTTAAATCCCTTAATAACCTGACTGAGAGCAGTTTCACGCGTTTCTGTCTGCTTTTCCAGCATTCTCATGTGTTCCCAGTACAGCTTCATTTGTCCCTCCTACTCTGACAGGTTGGCAGTCACGAGTGAGAGACTGCTGCAAGGCTTTTGCCTGTACTGCCTCTTTCTGCAGCATCTGCATTTTCTCCCTCTGCATTTCCACTTCCTCATTTTTAATTTTTAAGGCAGACAGTGTTGTTTGCAGCTCTTGCTCGAGGCAGTATTCCTGCCTGTTGCTGTATTTGCGGGGGTTTCAGAGGCTGTCACTGATACCTGAAGAAGATTTTTCTCCTATGCCAGTGTTTCTTTAACTGCTTGCAGCCTGTCCTGTTCATGCTGCAAACCAGAAGAGAGGAAAAGGTTCAATAATTCCATCGATATGTGCTTGCTTTCCGTACTAGATTTGAGCTCCTACTCATGTGGCATTCATAGGCAGAAGTTTGAGCTCCTAGTGGGAAATGCAAGCTGTTCTGTTGGTTTTGCTGTTGAATGCCTATTTTCTGCTGTCAGTCCAAAAAAAGAAGCGAGAACTGCGCTGTACTTATCAAACTGTCCATAAGTGAGTTTTGGAGTCCCTGTAAATGGAGAAGTGGGAAAACACTGGTCATGTGAGGGCAGCTGCATGGCTTACATGTGTGGGCTAGTGTCCTGTATGTAACAGTGCCTGTGAGAGCACAGCCAGAGAAGAAAGCCTGAGAGGGGTAGGCTTGCATGATCCCTCCCCAGGCTCAGGATCCCCAGGATCCCTCCCTTTTCCAGCTGGTGAGAACTTCCAGAGCCTCCTCCTGACCCCATCTAGACCTGCTGTATTTACAACAGCCTCTGTCAGGGAGTTTAACAGGTCTGCTCTGCTGTGAGCATACCACCTGCTGGCACCTGCTTGCAGCACAGCTCTCGGTTCATCAGGCACCTCTTGGTCATGTCTAACCAGGATGCAGGCCGAGGCCCAGCTGTGACTGAAGCTACCACAAACTCCTAGTCATCTCCCAGTAAAATGGGTGGCATTTGAGTGAGTGAATCCCCCTACAGACTAGTCTGGGCAAAGGAAAGGGGTCTGAGCCCACTTTTCTGTACATGTTTGTTGCATTTCTTCATGAGCATCTGGAGTTTGGAAAAACCAATGTTTCCTGACAAGCCTGCTTTCCTTCCTGTGTCTTTAGACAAAGCCAGAATAAGAGCCTGTATGTGCAGCTCCAGCCTGTCCCTTACAGGGAAGAAACTTCTTCTCAGTGAGGGTGACGGAACACTGGAACAGGCTGCCCAGGGAGGTCGTGGAGTCTCCTTCCCTGGGGACATTCAAAACTCGCCTGGACACGTTCCTGTGTAACCTTATCTAGGTGTTCCTGCTCCGGCAGGGGGATTGGACTAGGTGATCTTTTGAGGTCCCTTCCGATCTCTAGCATACTGTGATACTGCGATACACCGCTTGTCCCTGTTCGACATGCATCAAAGGGGATAGCTGGCAGACTGAGGGTGTGCTGGCCCTGAGGAACTGCACGTGGCACCCACCGCTGCGCAAAGAGGAGTTAAAGAGCATCTCGAGCGTGTGCGGCGTCGGGGGAGCGAGCCCGCTTTCGACACAATAGCCCCTCAACTGCGTCGGGGCCGGTGCCTAGTGCAGCGCGTTCTATAGCGCGGCGTAACAGCGCCTCGGCAGAGCTGTGGGCGGCTCTGACAGCGGCAACACCGCAGCGAGCGATAAGCGAGAGAGTAGCGAGCAGCGACCCCAGGGTCAGTGTCCGAGCGCGCCCGGCTGCCGGTGCGGGCAGGAGGAGCCCCGCGTCGATGGCGGCCCAGGGCCAGGCCACGCAGCGGCGGCTGCAGAGCTTGGAGGAGGAGCAGCGCTGTGGAGACGAGGTGGTGCGGCACCCGACGGCGAAGGTGAGAGCGGGGGGCAGCCCAGGCACGCTGCTGGCCCCGCCGCTGCCGCCTGTGGAGCCGCCCGCTCCGCCTGTCCCGCACCTCCGCGCACACGCGGGGCTGCGAGCGCCGTCGTGCGGTACCGAGCAGGGGCTGGAAGCGCGGGAGGGGTCGAGCGGCGGCGAGGAGGGACCTGTGCAGGGGGGGAAATGGGCAGTGCTGGGGCGTGGGGAAAAGCTGCAGAAGGAGCCGTGTCTGGTACAAGCTCCCCCTCACTCCGTGTACCTATCCAGGTACTGAAGTACTGGAAGCAGTGCGAAGCGTTAGAGAAGCAGCTGGAAGTACGAGGGGTGAGCGTGCGGGCTGCCAACTAAAGACGGCAGGCCAGAAAAATCCCATCAAGGATCTTAGAATCCCAGAGTGGTTTGTGTTAGAAGGGACCTTAAAGCTCCTCCAGTTCCAACCCCTGCCACGAGCAGGGACCCTTCCACTAGAAGCCCTGTCCAAGCTTCTCTGGGCAACCTGCATCAGGGCCTCACCATGGTCACAGGGTAGAACTTCTTCCTAATGTCTAATCTAAATCTGCTCTCTGTCAGCGTGAAAGCGTGCTTTATTGCTGAAGCAGTAAAGCTTGACCCAGGTCTCAGGACAGGGCTACACTGCCTGTTCCGTTCTGTGGTTGTCTTTGGAGAAGAATGAGCTGGTTTCTTTCTAGCCTTCCCATTCTTGGTCTTGCACTGCCTTGCCAGTCTCATCAACTCTGTGCTCTGCTGTTTTTTCTCCTTGACCTCTGTAAGCGGCGAGGAGAAGCAGACAAGCCAACCCAATATGAGTGATAAGCAACTTCTCCTTTATTTGTGACGCAGTTCACACATATATAGGAGTGGTATTCAGCCACTCCTTCTTGGCACAACAGTATTGGTTAGCCCCCACAGCTTCCTCCACATTCTCCTCCCAGGTCCGGTCTCCGGCCACCTGTGGGGGCCACCCCCTGCCTTGCTTGCACAGTCCTCCAGAACTCTATGGTTCTGCTCTTAGAGTCATTCTGCAACAGACCTCCACCACATCATCAGACCTTTGGCCTTCTCTCTGCTTGCTTCTTCTCGCACGTATCTGGAGCCATCTTCCCTGCTCACTGCAGTGAAGAATGGCTCTAGATTGCTTGTTTATGCTCCTTCCCTGCCTATCGCTTGCAGGCCCTAGGAGAAAAGCTTTATGCCAAGGACACCATCAGCATGCTGCAGCACAAGTGCAGACAGCAGGAAGAGGAGTGCAAGAGGCTGCATCAAAGACTTGAGCAATTGGAGGAGGAATGCAGGTCATCCAGGGAGCAGCAGCACCTGCAGGCTCTGACAGATGCACCCAGAAGGTGAGTGTTTCCTCCTCTTCCTGTGTTCTAGAAGCAATCTGCTCCCAATTCTAAGAGTTCAGAGGTGTTACGGGCAAAGAAATCACCTGCCCTACCTCGTGTATGCCTGTTTGGCACTTTAGCATCCCTCTGTCACAGCTTTTCATGCTCTACTGTGAATGCTGAGGCAGGACCAGGAGATTCAGCGTGCTGTTGGAATACAAGAGTCCTCCCTCTCGACATGCTGATTCTCGGAGTGCTTGTTCTTTAGGTGCCCTTTCCTAGCCACTGCTTCTCAGTGAATGAAGGCAAATGCCTGCCTTCCTTACATCTTCCCTCTTCAGTTATCTTGTGAGGGGAAGAGGAAATTTTTCCTTACTGTGCTGCCCACAGCTCCATCCTGGCATGATGAAAATGGGATTCGTGACTGTTCAGGCCTCTTCATTCTTCTGACTAAGCCTTGTCTCTGCCGTGACTGTGCCAAGCTTAGGAAAATCAAGGATGACCTGCAGCAAAACCTTCTAATAATGGAACAGGCTCAGCTGCTAATGCCTCAGTTAGCTTGAAACTTTCCCTTTCCTTAGCCAGCTGAGCTGGTTTCTTTCTAGCTTTGCCATTCGCGTTCGCTGCCTTGCCAGTCTCCCCAGCTGTGTGCTCTGCTGCTTTTTCTCTTTCTCTGCTGACTAAGCCTTGTCTCTGCAGTGACTGTGCCAAGCTTAGGAAAATCAAGGAGGACCTACAGCAAAATCTAACACAGAAGCAAGAAACTTGCAGTCTGCCTCAGCATAAGACTGAACTGCAGCTGAAGGAAAAGGTGGAGCAGCAGCAGGCACTGGAGAGAGTGCATCGTGACCATGGGCACCTGTGAGTTTTAAAGCTTTCTCTGGGCAGGGCTGAGCACTGCTGGGCTTAAGGAGGCCCACCATAAAGATAACAACTTTGGCACGCTTATCATGAGTAGCATAGAAAGGTGAAGGGAGCACCTGGGCAGGTCTGGCTCCCTACTGACACACAGCACAGCTCCTGGCAAAGAGTGCTGCAGCTCTAATCAGAAAATTCCCACATTCTTTAAGTGTACATAGAAAGCTGTTGGAAATCATTCCAACTGCCGTATCTTGGACATAGCTTGTATCTTAGTTTTAGAAAGGAGAACGTTTTCACAGGAAAAACTTAATTGGAGAAATTGCTCCTTCACAGGAATCAGCTGATGCAGGACGATCATGAGCTTACGGAGGCACTGAAGAAGGTACAGTCACCTTATGGGAGAGGGAGATGTGACAGCCAGATCATCCCAGGTGCTGTTTCTGGCAGCTGAAGGCAGGGAAAATGTTCTTCTCCTTGAAAAATGGTGGTCAGAGCACACAGGCTCTTTGGGTAGTTGATCCCCACCACGTTGCGATTGGGAGAGCTGAACTGGGAGCACGTCAGAGACACACAGGGGATGCGGAGCTGCTCCTTGAAGTCGAGGATTTTCCTGTCCAAGCCAGACCTCCTACAGAGGATACAAGTCCCAGAGCTCTCTGGGTGGGCATTTGGCTGCTTGGCTCAGTGAAGCTGCATCTGATGGATTCTGCCGTGGTTTTGTCAAGGAGACGCTTGGTAGTGCTGGAGGTCGCAAGGCTTTGGTTACTTCTTGGAAACGTGTTGATGGCTTGCAGAGCCGTTGTGCACTTCTCTCAGTTGTCTTCTGTCCCAGGCAACCCAGTATGGCTTTACCCATCACTTTCACATTAATGGTGCCAGTGCCTTTTGCCAGCCCAGGGTATTAGAGCACTACTCAGCAGAGGCCCTGAAACTTTCAGCCCCCAGTACAGGAGTTATTACTCAGCCCACTGCTTCAGAAGTTGCACCGCTGCCTCTGCACACAACTGTATTTTGCTCTGTTTTCAGGTTTACCACCAGCAAGATTCGACCAAGCTTGATCTGGAGCAGCTGCTCCAAGAGTCCTCTGGCCAAGTGCACACTCTGGCCAGGATGTCCAGCAAGAAGGAATTGCTGGTGCGCAAGGTGGCTGCCCTAGAGGTGCAACTGTCAGCCTTGGAGCAGGACAGACAAGGCCTTTCAGAGCAGCTGACACAGGCCAGGTAAAGGCAGGGAGGAGACCCTAGGCAGGATGGTACTGAAGGTCTGTAATTACAGAGGTGGGAATCGTTACTTGAGGATTTATTGCATCCTGTGTGCTTTGCAGATATTTTCACCTTCCATGGACAGAAAATGGAAGAATCTTGAGAAAAAAAAAAAAAACCATAAGCAAGGAGTACACTGTGATTTGAACGTTATTTTTCTGACAGCTACAGCTAACAAAAGTCTCCTGAGCCTTCGGCTCATGTTTATGCCCCCTTGCACATTCCTGTGTGAAGTCCAAAGCAAGCCAATATAATTCTTCAGTATCTGGTACCTTGGCTCTGCATTGAGTAATAACTCATCCATAGAGATCTTTACTGAAACCGGAAGCTTCTTTCTGGTTTTGGTTTCTTGGTTTGTGTGTTTGAACATAGACCTCTCCTTAGTAAGTCGTTCGACACAGGATGTTCAGAATTCAGGTCTAGAGGCTCATGCTGAAAATCTGGAGGGCACTTCTTACTGGAGTGACTTCCTGTGGGTGTCAGGAGCAAGAAACTCATTTCTCTCTGTATTCACAACTTGAAGGTCAGTGAACGAGACCCTGGAGAACAGCCTATCTGAGGCTCAGCGGCACATACTGCAGTTGGAGATCACCAAGAGCCAGCTGGAAATCCAACTTCAAACAGTCACACAGGCCAATGAACTGATACAAGGTGAGAGCCTCATGTGCTTTGCTTCCCTTGACCCCCGTGGCCAGCGGGCTTTCTGCAGTGCTTCTAAGTGAAGGAGCTGGAAAGAGTTCCCTCCTCCACTGACCTTCAAATGGCTTTAGGTTAGTAAGGCCAGAACCCCTTGCGTAGACTCTGAATCCTCCCATTTGTTGCGTTTGCAGGGGAAGTGAAGTGCCTTAGATGGAAGCTGGAAGCTGAGAGATATCTCATGCAGCAGGAAAGGAAGACCATGGCAGAACAGCTCTCGCAGGCAGAACAGCAGCATGACGAGACTCTCAAGCTTCTGGAAACTGATCACGAAGTGGAAGTAAACAAGCTCCTGCAAGCCCTGGTAGGAAACAATATGCTTCTGACTTCTTCAAGCAAGCTTTGTGGCTTGGCTTTAGAAGAGTAATAGCCTGAGCGTGAGAACTGGCAGCAGGCCCCTCTCATAGGCCACATCTTGCTAGGCCAGGCAGCAGAGCCAATGGCTTGTACTTGAAGGCACATGAAAAGTCATAGGACTATGCTGGAACAGTAAATGCAGCCACAGATTCAGTTCAACAAAAGGCTGGGTGGTCCCCAAGGCATGGTACCAAAGAAGTGGGATCTTACCAGACTCCTGCCTACCGTGAAGAAGACTCCTAACAGTGCTGGGGACTGCAGCCAAGCAAACTTTGTTCCTTCCTTTCGTTCTTTCATGGCTGATAGAGGAAGTATCCTTGGGCTTGAAGTATATGGAACAGTCCCCTTGTTCCTGGTACTTTGTTTGTGGCCATGTCTTACGTCAGCGTTGCAAGGCGAAAACTAGTCCTGACTTCAAACACAAAATGACAGTCTGATGTGAGCATTATTCCTCCAAGAGGGCACAGTGGGCTTCTAGAGGATGGAACCATGAAAACACTGCACAGTAGAGATATTAAAAAAAAAAAAAGGCAGAAACCAAGTAGTGAAATGAAACGTCAGGCTTGTTCTCTCTTCCTTTCCCCCCTAATAGAGAGAACATCATCATGCCGTGCTTAAATCATGGTTAGTCTGCCCTTTAAGTCCTGGCTGTAGTCCTTGGTAGCTCATCCCCAAAAGAACAAACAAGAGCTAGAAGGGGTTCAGAGAAGGAAAGAAAGGAAGCTGGGCCTGGCTGAGTAAGCTGGGAAAGAATGAGAAGGGTGGCACAGGAAAGGTCTGCAGGATCCCGAGAGGCAGGGAGAGAGCAGGCAGTCCCTGACTGCCACCGGAGCAGGAGTTGAAATCTCGTATGAAAACCAAACACATACAGATGGAATTATTGAACCTTTTTCTCCCTGTTTTACAGCATGAACGGGACAGGCTGCAAGCAGCGAAGGCAAAAGCTTTGCAGGAGACTCTCACTTACATGATCACCATGCTGTCAGAGAGGGAGGGAGAAACGTTGTGCCAGGAACAGACAAGAACGCCGGAAAAGCAGAGAGAAATGCATGAAACTGCTCCCAGCCAGGTTATCAATGACGTAACGGATCAAAACCCGGAGTCACTACAAAAGCAAAACCAGGAAGCCGGAGAGGCCACGGAAATGCTGTTAAGGGCTCTCCGTGAGCATGTGGAACAGACCTTAAAAACCTTAAAAGAAAAGGACAGACTCCTAGCCATCCAAAGGCAACAAACAAGGAGCTATGAGGAGAAAACAGAAGAACAGATGAATGTCTTGCGCAAAGACTTAGAATACGCTAAGGCAGAACTGAAAGAAAAGGATTTTGTGATCGAATCTCAGAAGGAAGTGATTGAGACCTTCCAAAACCAAGAAAAAGACTCTGAACAGCACAAGAAAATTCTGCTTGAAGTGGCAGTTGAAGTGGCACTAAAGGAAAAAGATCAAGAAACTGTATCCCTTAGAAAGCAATGTGAGGCATGCAAGGAAAAGGAGAAGCAGCACGGAGCTGAGCAAGAAAAACTGCAAGCAACAGAACGGACTCTGAAAAAGAGAGAAAAGAAGATAAGGGCTCTGGAGGAGACTGTCTTGAAGCTTCAACAGCAAAAGAACGAGGCAGTGGTGATGATTAAAACCATACAGCAAAAACTACAACACACGGAGTCTTCTCTAGGCACCCGAGAGAAGGAGATAATGTCTTTACAAAGACATGTACAGGACCTTCAAAAGCAGAAGGAGTTAGCAGGCAAACAGGCCAGGACTCTAGAGCAGAATCTTGAGAAAATGAGACAAAGACTGAAGGAGAACAATTTGAAGTTCCTCAAGCAGACAGAGGAAAGTAACATGTCATCGCTGTGTGGTGATCTGCTTGAGAAAGTAGTGAAGAAGAGAGACACAGACAGGTTTCATCACCAGGTAGGCACTGTGACCGCTCATCAGTCAAGTAAAACATCTATAAAGGATTCTAATGATGTTTCCCGTCAAGAAACTTGAAGGCACATGAAAAGTCACAGGACTATGCTGGGACAGTAAATGCAGCCACAGATTCAGTTCAACAAAGGTTTGGATGGTCCCATCAAACTATGACCTGCTTGGCCAAAAGAGGCCACGACTGCAGCTAGCAGGCTTGCCTGTCTGCATAGCTCCGGCCAGAGCCCATTCACCTGCTAGAATGGTTTCTGTCAAGCCCACAGGTACTGAAAGAACTACAGAGCTTGTTGTTCAAATGAACTCAAGTCCAAAAGTTGGGGGTGGGTACTTGGCCCTCTCCTGTCTAAGCAACCTTGGCCAACATGTTGTGGTTAGGACTTGGCATGTGCCAAAAATGGTTGAAAGAAAATGCGTGTGGATTTCTCCAAGGTGATGTGGAGGAGGGCCCCTGGGAAGAGATTTTGTTGTGTTGGGCTGGAGGGGAAGAAGGGACTTTGCACGTTCTAACCTTTGTGTGGCACCAGCTCACGTAACCTCCTCTCTGAATACCCAGCAGGCTATTGCAGAAGGAGTGCAGCAATCGTGGCTCTTGGAGAAGAAGCTCCTGTTGCAACAGCTGGAAAGTTTGCAGCAAGAAGTTGCAAGGCTGAAACTTGCCAACACTGAGCTGAAGGAATTCAATGCTGAACTCAAGAAGTCTCTTGAGGAGGTGAAACAGGCTTTCCCTGCCCACGCTAAGCCTCACAGTCTTCTGGAGCACCACACGTCTCCACAGACAGCAGTTTGGGGTCCTCTGCTTGTTCCCTTCCCTATCCCGCTCTCCCCTCGGACACACCCTTTTGTGTTTTCCTTCTCTTCTGGCACCTCATTTGCCTTCACAAATGCACATTAACTCCAGTACCACCCTTCTTACCCTGCTGTCCCTATACACACATACTGGACTCTCAGGAGTCCAGTGTCAGGAAGTATTTCATCTTGCTCTTTCTTGTCCGTAGTCTACACTGAGTGCTTTTTGAGCCCAACATTTTCGCCCGAGAGGCCCTTTCGCTCGTTGTTTGGTGGCAGGTTTCTGTGACCCATTCTCCTAGAAACGTGCAGGTGGAATGTCAATGGAGGAAACTGATGAGGCTCCACTGTGATCAGTCTCTTCCAGGTGCAAGTGGATCTTCCTTCTCCAAGCCTCACCACACAAGACGCCTGCTTCTAGGTGAGAACAGAGGCTTAGTTGGTGGGAGGAGGCTCTGACACATCCCAGGGGCAGCAGCCCCCCAGTACAGACCTACTAGAAGTTGAATACAGACCTAGTATAAGTCAAATATAGACCATGGTCCTGGCCAAACTGGAGACCAAAAAGAAATCCTTGTGTTTTCTTTACAGGAGGAGTCCTATGCACGCTGCAGGCATCAATGACCTGACTTGCAGAACCAGGGGAGGAGCCAGAAAGCTCTCACTTCCTGAGCAGCTGTAGCACCACATGGTTCCTGTCCTCTATCCTTCCCAGAATCGTCGTCTTTTACTGCTGTGGGACAGAGGGGTGGATTTGTTCTCTTGACATTTAGAAGTAGTTTACATGTGGGCAGGGACTCCTGACTTTCCTTTTTTGTTTCTTAATAGAAGACATTCTGCAGTCATTCAGTATGGAGAAGCAAGTGGTTTTCCTTCCTGCCCTTTTTTATAGAGGGGTGCCTTGCTGGCCAGTCTCCAGTCCTTTGGGACCTGCCCACTGGACCAGGACTGCTGACAGATGATGGAGAGTGGCTTGGCAAGCTCCTCTGCCAGCTCCCGTGGGTACTCCTGACCCACAGATTTGTGTACATCTAAGAGGAGCAGGAGGTCGCTAACCATTTCTTCCTGCGTTATGGGGACTCCAGTCAGCTCTTCATCACTGCCATCCGGCTCAGGGAAGCGAGTACCCTGAGGATGGCTGGTGTGACTATTAAGCCTGAGGCAAAGGCAGCATTAACCACCACAGCCTTTCTCCCATCCTCAGTCACTAGGTTGCCCCTAGTATCCAATAGAGAATGGAGGTTCTCCTTGGCCCTCCTTTCATTGCTAATGTATTTGTAAAAGTACTTTTCATTAGCTTTTATGGCAGTGGCCAGATTTAGTTTCCATCTGTGCCTTTCTACTTTTCTCCCTACAGACCTAACAACATCCCTGTACTTCTCCTGGGGTGACAGTCCCTTCTTCCACAGGGGATAAAGCCTCTTCTTCCCTGAGTTCCAGCAACATCTCCCTGTTGAGCCAGGCTTGTTTCTCCCCCGCTGGTTGATTTGTGGCACATAGGGACCGCCTGCTCCTATGCCTTGAGGCTTTAAGTCTTGAAGAGGATCCAGCCTTCCTGGACCCCTTTGTCCTTCAGTAATGTTTCCCAAGGTATTCTGCCAGCCAGCGCCCTGAACAGGCTGTCGTTGTTTAAACCCTAGCCAGACAGCTTGTTCGCTCACTCCCAGTGAGTGGTGCCGGGGTGGAAGCAAGTGAGGCCCACTGCCGCCCCCCCCCCCCCCCCCCCCCCCCCCCCCTCCCCGGGGCTCTCCCCTTCCCTGCTCCCGGAGGAACGGGGAGGAGGATCAAAAGAGTGCAACTCCCACGGGTTGAGACAAGAACAGTCCAGCAACCCATGTACAACACAAATCACCACCGCTACCGCCACCGACAACAATGGGAAGAGAAAATAACAAGGGAAGAGAATACAATACCACCCGCTGAGAAACGAGTCCCACCCAGAAGACCCCGTGTCCTTCCGGGTAACTCCCAGTTACACCCTGGGCATGACGAGCTGTGGTATGGAATAGCTCTTTGGCTAGTCTGAGTCAGGCATCCCATCTCTGCTTCCTCCCGCCTTCCCCTCCTCCCTGGCAGAGCATGAGCCTCACAAAGTCCTTGGTCAGGGTAAACATCACTTAGCAACAACCAAAAACATCGGTATTATCAGCACTGTTCCCAGGCTGGAAGTCAAAACACAGCACTGCACCAGCTACCAAGAAGGAGAAAAATGACTGCTACTGCTGAACCCAGGACATTATCCACCCCTTATTCCATACCATTCTCGTCATGCTCAGATCCCACATTTTCAATATACCATCGCTCTCCCAGATGTATATACATCTCTCGTGGTTTAAACCCAGTCAGGTAACTCGTTCACTCACTCCCCCCTTCTTTCCCTCCCCCTACTCCTGGAGGGACGGAGAGGAGAATCGAAAAGAATGCAACTCCCACGGGTTGAGATAAAAACAGTAACTAAGGTATAACACAGATCACTACTGCTACTACCAATAATAACAATGATAAAGGAAATAACAAGGGGAGACAATACGTCACCTCACCACCAGCCAACCGGTAACTCACCCCCCCCAGCCCGACCAAGCCCCGACCCATACCTCCTCCAACCCCGCAGTCTCAGCCCTTCCGGCTAACTCCCAGTTACATCCTGGCCATGACGTGCTGCGGTATGGAATACCTCTTTGGCTAGCTTGGGTCAGGCGTCCCGTCTCTGCTTCCTCCCGCCTTCCCCTCCTCCCTGGCAGAGCATGAGGCTCACAAAGTCCTTGGCCAAACCAAAACATCATTGTTATCAGCTCTGTTCCCAGGCTGAAAGTCAAAACACTGCACTGCACCAGCTACCAAGGAGAAAAATGACTGCTACTGCTGAACCCAGGACAACATACATATACACACAGACCAAGAGAAAGAGATCATTTTCTTAGTGCATGGACCAATCCCTATAATGCTGCCGAGTCCATTCGGGCCATGATGTCATGTTCCATCTCTTGTAACAATCTTTCAGGGCAGGAAAGGCTGTGTGCAGTATTGGATCGTTGCCTGCTGATGCTGGTCGTTCCTTTACTGCAGAACTCATCAGGTTCTATCAAAGTTCATTCTCTGTTGGGATGATGGTTGGCGGGAAGTCAGGGCCAGTCGCTGGTGACCTGAAGACATCTAGTTGATGGGCTACAGAAGTATTACACAGCGGGCAACAGCATACAATTGAGTTCACTGGCTGTTTTCCCCTAAAATCAAATCCCCTTGAGGTATACATCGGACTTTCCCATCTTCCCGCATTACCCACCAAGTATATCCAGGTCCCTGAGCAAAAGCAATCCCACGAGTGGGTTTGCCTTTACCTGAAGCGGGAATAACCCAGACTGTCTTCCCCAGCAAATTCTTCATATGCACCACGGGAACTTTGTCCCCCTCTACAATATGTAAAAGTTCTGACTGGGCTGGGCCAGCCCTGTTGACAGATCCTCTGGTGTTGACCAACCAGGTGGCCTTTGGTAAGTGTGTATCCCAATACTTGGAAGTTCCCCCACCCATTGCTCTCAGTGTAGTTTTTAACAGCCCACTGTACCCTTCGATTTTCCCGGAAGCTAGTGCATGGTAGGGGATGTGATATACCCACTCAATGCCATGCTCTTTGGCCCAAATATCTATAAGGTTATTCCAGAAATGAGTCCCATTGTCTGACTCAATTCTCTCTGGGGTGCCGTGTCGCCACAAAATCTGTTTCTCAAGGCCCAGGATAGTGTTCCGGGCAGTGGCATGGGGCACAGCGTATGTTTCCAGCCACCGGGTGGTTGCTTCCACCACGGTAAGCACATGGCGCTTGCCTTGGCGGGTTGGTGGCAGTGTGATACAGGTAATCTGCCAGGCCTCCCCGTGTTTATACTTCAACCATAGTCCTCCATACCAAAGAGGCTTTAACCGCTTGGCTTGTTTAATTGCAGCACATGTTTCACACTCATGAATAACCTGGGCAATAGTGTCCATTGTTAAGTCCACCCCTCGATCACGGGCCCATCTGTATGTTGCATCTCTGCCCTGATGGTCTGAAGTGTCATGGGCCCACCGGGCCAAAAATAATTCACCTTTATGTTGCCAATCTAAGTCCATCTGAGCCACTTCAATCTTAGCCGCTTTATCCACTTGTTGGTTGTTCTGGTGTTCCTCAGTGGCCCGACTCTTGGGTACATGGGCATCTACATGACGTACCTTCACCACCAGGTTCTGCACCCAGGCAGCAATATCTTTCCACAGTGCAGCAGCCCAGATGGGTTTACCTCTGCGTTGCCAGTTGCTCTGCTTCCATTGCTTCAACCACCCCCACAGGGCATTTGCCACCATCCATGAATCAGTATTGTGACGAGTGACTACGGATCTGGTCAGATCTGTTGTTATCTCAACCCCTCGTGCCCCACGCTGGGCGCCAAAAAAAACTGTCGTGGTTTAAACCCTAGCCAGACAGCTTGTTCACTCACTCCCAGTGAGTGGTGCTGGGCTGAGAGCAATCAAGCGCCCGCCCACCCGGGGCTCTCCCCTTCCCCGCTCCCCGAGGAACGGGGAGGAGGATCAAAAGAGTGCAACTCCCACGGGTTGAGACAAGAACAGTCCAGCAACCCATGTACAACACAAATCACCACCGCTACCACCACCGACAACAATGGTAAGAGAGAATAACAAGGGAAGAGAATACAATACCACCGGCCAAGAAATGAGTCCGACCCAGAAGACCCCGTGTCCTTCCGGGTAACTCCCAGTTACCCCCGCCCTGGGCGTGACGTGCTGTGGTATGGAATACCTCTTTGGCTAGCTTGGGTCAGGTGCCCCGTCTCTGCTTCCTCCCAGCTTCCCCTCCTCCCTGGCAGAGCATGAGCCTCACAAAGTCCTTGGTCAGGGTAAACATCACTTAGCAACAACCAAAACCATCGGTATTATGAGCTCTGTTCCCAGGCTGGAAGTCAAAACACAGCACTGCACCAGCTACCAAGAAGGAGAAAAATGACTGCTACTGCTGAACCCAGGACACAGGCCAAGGTCATCCCTCTGGGAGTGTAAGGTGGAGGGTTTGGAATTTTCTCATGATTTTTAATACGAGACGTTCTGCGCTTGCTCAGCTGGCAGAAGCAAGAGGTAGGTAAATACGTGGCTTGGGGAAAGACTGTGCTAGATTTTTGCTTGCACAAGTAAGCTGTGGGGGGTGGAATGTATCGAAACTGTCAGAGACCATGGGAAGGAGGAACTACAGTAGGCAATTAAGAGTGACCGGTCCCTGACTGGTACTTGGAAGATGTTGGAACTGGCAAGGAACAAGGACGTTGGAACTGGAAAGAGGATGTCGATAAGAAAATCAGACAGGCCTTTCACCTGATGTAACCACAAGGCAAAGACAGATGTGCTTGGCTGATTGCTTGGAAGCATACAAATATCGTGTAATCTTTGCAATAAACGATCCAGCTTGCGCTCTACCTCGGGGTCCGTGCCTCCATCCTCACAGTAAACCACTGCTTTAGCCTCTGGAGTTCCCAGCCATTCCCTTGAGGAAGCAGGGCAATGGAAGCGTTATCAAAATGAGGCCGGGAACGCACACCCGGCAGCGATGGAAAGTGCGGCAAGAAAGTGGGGTTCTTCCTTCCCTCCCTCCCTCGCAGCTCCAGCACAGGGCGCGCTGATGCTCTCCCGAGGGGATGTGCTTCAGCTCTGTGGCTGCTCGGATGTTCTCCAAGGGGCGTTAGGAACGAGCCCCGCAGCCTCCAGAGGCGGCGGCGACGGACGGGTGATGGGCAGGAGGGTGTCGCGTGAAAGCCGCCGGGCCTCGGCCTCGGGCCCTGTCCCGCTGTCTCTCGGGTGCCCCTCAGAGGCTCGGGCCCGTTGGCAGCAGAGGCAGGAGCGTACGAGCGGGCAGCGAAACTCAGGCCTTCCCTTCCCTCCCCTCCCCTCCCCGGAGCATCCGGGAACACCCTGCCCACCCCCGCCTGCTCCAGGCCGCGCTGCCCGTCGGGGCGGAGCCGGGGCAGGGGCGGCCCCGGCCCGGAAGGCGAGTTTGTTTCCGGGCCGCGCCATGGAGTCGTTGTGGCGGCTGAAGCGGTTCGATGCCTTCCTGAAGACCCTGGAAGACTTTCGGGTGAAGACGTGTGGCGGCGCGCTGGGTGAGCGGTCACCCTGTCGTCCTCTAGAACCCCCAGGTCCCTCTCCCCTACACTGCTAACAGGTCGTTCCCCAACCTATACTGGAACCTGGGGTTGTTCCTGCCCAGATGCAGGACTCTACACTTTCCCTTGTAATATTTCATCAAGTTATTCCCTGCCCAACTCTCCAGCCTGTCCAGGTCTCGCTGGATGGCAGCACAGCCTTCTGGCGTGTCAGCCACTCCTCCCAGCTCAGTGTCGTCAGCAAACTTGCTGATAGTACACTCAATTCCCTCATCTAAATCGTTGATGAATATATTAAATAATACCGGTCCCAGTACTGACCCTTGAGGCACTCCACTAGTTACAGGCCTCCAACTAGACTCCGCCCCATAGACTACAGCTCTCTGGCTTGTCTCCTTCAGCCAGTTCACAGTCCACCTCACTACCTGATCATCCAGACCACACTTCCTCATTTTAGCTGTGAGGATGCTGTGGGAGACTGTGTCAAATGCTTTGCTGAAGTCAAGGTAGACCACATCCACCGCTCTGCCATCATCCATCCACCGTGTTATTTCCTCATAAAAGGCTAAGAGATTGGTCAAGCATGATTTCCCCTTGGTGAAGCCATGTTGACTGCCCCTCATAACCCTCTTATCCTTGATATGCCTTAAGATGGCACCGAGGATAAGGTGTTCCATCACTTTCCCAGGGATGGAGGTGAGGCTGACCGGTCTATAGTTACCCGGGTCCTCCTTCTTGCCCTTTTTGAAGACTGGAGTGACATTTGCTTTCCTCCAGTCCTCAGGCACCTTTCCCGTTTCCCAAGACTCAGTAAAGATGATGGAGAGTGGTCTAGCAATGACTTCCGCCAGTTCCCTCAGCACCCGCGGGTGCATCCCATCTGGACCCATGGGTTTATGGATGTCCAGATTGCTCAACTGGTCTCTAACCCATTCCTCATCGACTAAGGCAAACCACTCCGTCGACCTGACTTCATCTAAGGTCTCTGGGGTACAGGGCTCTTCAGGACTGCCTGCAGCAAAGTAGACAGAGACAAAGAAGGCATTCAGTAACTCTGCCATCTCTGTATCTTCTGTCACCCGGGCACCCATCCCATTCATCAGTGGGCCTACATTGCCTCTGGTGTTAGTTTTATCTGCCATGTATTTGAAAAAGCTCTTTTTGCTGTCCTTGACCCTTCTCGCCAGGACTGTGGCTGGGTTGCCGAGTGGTCCTTCCAGCAAACATCAGGGAAGTTAAAATCCCCCACGACGACCACGGCCCGTGACTGTGAGGCCGCTCTCAGCTGCCTGTAGAAGGCGTCGGCAACTTCCTCACCCTGATCTGGTGGTCTGTAACAGACACCTACAACAGTGTCGCCCCTGCCAGCCTGACCCTTAATTCTCACCCACAGACTCTCAACTCGCTCGTCATCTGTCCCTGGACAGAACTCGGTGCATTGTAGTTGCTCCCGCACATAAAGAGCAAGCCCACCACCCCTCCTGGCTGGCCTGTCTTTCCTGAAAAGGACATAGCCCTCCATGACTATATTCCAGTCATGTGAGCTGTCCCAGCACGTCTCTGTAATTGGCACCAGATCACAGTCTCCTGACTTAACACAGGTTTCCAACTCCTCCTGCTTATTTCCCATGCTGCGCGCATTGGTGTACAGACATTCCAGGGAGCGAGCTGAGCACACCGATTTCACCCTAGGATTATAGGAGGCCTCCCAGTCTTCATCAGTTCTGGAGTGCTGCCCCACTGGGGCAAGCCCAGCTACAACCCCATCCCCCTTCGAATCTAGTTTAAAGCTCTCCAACTGAGCCCTGCTAATTCGTGTCCCAGCATCCTTTTCCCTCTGTGAGACAAACCTTTCTCACTTGTCATTGTCCAGACTGGTGCCCTATAAAACCAGCCGTTATCAAAGAATCCAAAGCCCTGCCTGCAGCACCAGTCTCGAAGCCAATCGTTTATGGACTGAATCTCCCCATTCCTTCCCACATCATCAGTGGAAGATGGAAGGAGTGAGGAGAAGATCACCTGAGCCCCAGACTCTTTGACCATCCGCCCCAAGGCCCTGTAGTCTTTCTTCATCCCCCTCAGACTGCGGGAAGCAGCTTCCCCCCCACCTGTCTGGAAGACCAGCAGCGGGTAGTAGTCTGTCGGGTGCACCAGGTTGGGGAGCGCCCTGGTGATATCCCTGATCCGGGCTCCAGGCAGACTACACACTTCCCTATGATGAGGGTCAACTCTGCATATCGGGCCCTCTGTTCCTCTCAGAAGGGAATCGCCTACTACAATGACCCTTCTTTCTTTCTTATCAGAGGCAGTCTTGAGGTGCAAAGTCGACCCCCTTTTCCTGTGTGGCCTTGTGGGCTGGCCTTGCACCACATCCTCACCTACCTCTCCTTCAAGATCCAGGGCCTGGAACCTATTACGGAGGGACACCTGGGGAAGCAGGGCAGGAAGGGGGGAGGGTTTCCCACGACGCCGAACCGGAACTCGCTTCCAACCCTCGTCGTCTTTTTGGTCCCCTACCTCTGCGCAACAGCTACAGGGCAGGGGGTGTCTCGGGCCATCCCCCTCTGTGTGAGAAGGCAGGGGCTCCTTCCCCTTTCGGGGGGTATCTCCCTGGAACCGTTCCGACTGGCACGCCAGGGAGTTACTCCACCAGTCGATCTCCCTTTCACACTCCCTGATGGTCCTCAGCGTCTCAACCTCCCCCTTAAGTTTTGCCACCAGGCTAAGCAGATCTTCTACCTGCTCACACCTCCCGCAGGTGGAATGCTGTCCTCCCTCCCCCGGCAGCAGCAGGCTCTGGCACTCCCTGCACCCAGAGACCTGAACAGCCACGGTTTGGGACGGGGTCTCTGTCTGAGTTGCTGCAGTCTTCTTACTGCAAGCTCTCTGTCTGGAGGCGACCATATTGGTCAGCAGTCGGACACCAGCAACAGGGTCAGCAACACGACCTGCTTGTTCCTCCCTGCGCCTGGTGGTCAGCCCCCCGCCACGTCAGCCCCTCTCTCGCAAGGGCTGCTGGGGCTTCGGGGATCGGGAGATGTCGCGAATCGCGATGTCTCTGCGCTATCCCCTCTGATTTTCCTAATCTCCGTTGACCCTCGTGGTCGCTGAAGTGTGCCGGCTGCGGCTCTAGCTAGGCTAGCTCCGATCAGCTGACTGATCTGATTTGCCAGATCATTGTTAAGTGTGACTTTCTACAGTTCTAGTTTGTATCTTGCGTTTCTCTCTTGACTATGAAAACTGTCTAGATAATCGTCCCAAATACAGTGGAAGCCTCAACTGAGATGCATTCAGCTTCATGTATTTTAACATAGCTGAAGGCTCGTTAAAAATCTAGGCAAAAGCCAAAATACCGAGGACTGGGGATAGCATCTTGTGAAGCAGTGATTGCAAAACAGGGGATAGGGAATGAGGTCTGAAAACCTGCTTTGTATGAAATGGCTGACTGACCTCGAGCTTATTGATCAGAAGATGAGGAGGGAGGTTTATTTAGAGCTATAAATTCCTGTCAAATGAGACAAAACCTAAAATCTATAAACATGATGCCCTTCCACATATAGCACTGCTGCTGGGTGAGTGCCCCATTTTACGCTGCCTCAACTTTTCCTAACTTCCTGAAGTACTGCTCCATAAGGTCTCCAAGTGTCTGTTTCCGTCTTAAGCACCATGTCAGACTCGATCTCCAGAGGGAATTACTGTCAAGGTCCCAGCAAGCGGCTGGGTGGCTCCACCACCTACTGGAATTTGATCTCCTGGTCTCTCTCCTCCAGCTCTTTGCTGACCTTGCCAACACAAGTTCCCAGCAGTTCTCACTGCTTTTCCAGGTCTTGTGTCTTTTTTTCCTGGGATGCCATCTTCTGGTTTTCTCTGTTAAATCCCTTAATAACCTGACTGAGAGCAGTTTCACGCGTTTCTGTCTGCTTTTCCAGCATTCTCATGTGTTCCCAGTACAGCTTCATTTGTCCCTCCTACTCTGACAGGTTGGCAGTCACGAGTGAGAGACTGCTGCAAGGCTTTTGCCTGTACTGCCTCTTTCTGCAGCATCTGCATTTTCTCCCTCTGCATTTCCACTTCCTCATTTTTAATTTTTAAGGCAGACAGTGTTGTTTGCAGCTCTTGCTCGAGGCAGTATTCCTGCCTGTTGCTGTATTTGCGGGGGTTTCAGAGGCTGTCACTGATACCTGAAGAAGATTTTTCTCCTATGCCAGTGTTTCTTTAACTGCTTGCAGCCTGTCCTGTTCATGCTGCAAACCAGAAGAGAGGAAAAGGTTCAATAATTCCATCGATATGTGCTTGCTTTCCGTACTAGATTTGAGCTCCTACTCATGTGGCATTCATAGGCAGAAGTTTGAGCTCCTAGTGGGAAATGCAAGCTGTTCTGTTGGTTTTGCTGTTGAATGCCTATTTTCTGCTGTCAGTCCAAAAAAAGAAGCGAGAACTGCGCTGTACTTATCAAACTGTCCATAAGTGAGTTTTGGAGTCCCTGTAAATGGAGAAGTGGGAAAACACTGGTCATGTGAGGGCAGCTGCATGGCTTACATGTGTGGGCTAGTGTCCTGTATGTAACAGTGCCTGTGAGAGCACAGCCAGAGAAGAAAGCCTGAGAGGGGTAGGCTTGCATGATCCCTCCCCAGGCTCAGGATCCCCAGGATCCCTCCCTTTTCCAGCTGGTGAGAACTTCCAGAGCCTCCTCCTGACCCCATCTAGACCTGCTGTATTTACAACAGCCTCTGTCAGGGAGTTCAACAGGTCTGCTCTGCTGTGAGCATACCACCTGCTGGCACCTGCTTGCAGCACAGCTCTCGGTTCATCAGGCACCTCTTGGTCATGTCTAACCAGGATGCAGGCCGAGGCCCAGCTGTGACTGAAGCTACCACAAACTCCTAGTCATCTCCCAGTAAAATGGGTGGCATTTGAGTGAGTGAATCCCCCTACAGACTAGTCTGGGCAAAGGAAAGGGGTCTGAGCCCACTTTTCTGTACATGTTTGTTGCATTTCTTCATGAGCATCTGGAGTTTGGAAAAACCAATGTTTCCTGACAAGCCTGCTTTCCTTCCTGTGTCTTTAGACAAAGCCAGAATAAGAGCCTGTATGTGCAGCTCCAGCCTGTCCCTTACAGGGAAGAAACTTCTTCTCAGTGAGGGTGACGGAACACTGGAACAGGCTGCCCAGGGAGGTCGTGGAGTCTCCTTCCCTGGGGACATTCAAAACTCGCCTGGACACGTTCCTGTGTAACCTTATCTAGGTGTTCCTGCTCCGGCAGGGGGATTGGACTAGGTGATCTTTTGAGGTCCCTTCCGATCTCTAGCATACTGTGATACTGCGATACACCGCTTGTCCCTGTTCGACATGCATCAAAGGGGATAGCTGGCAGACTGAGGGTGTGCTGGCCCTGAGGAACTGCACGTGGCACCCACCGCTGCGCAAAGAGGAGTTAAAGAGCATCTCGAGCGTGTGCGGCGTCGGGGGAGCGAGCCCGCTTTCGACACAATAGCCCCTCAACTGCGTCGGGGCCGGTGCCTAGTGCAGCGCGTTCTATAGCGCGGCGTAACAGCGCCTCGGCAGAGCTGTGGGCGGCTCTGACAGCGGCAACACCGCAGCGAGCGATAAGCGAGAGAGTAGCGAGCAGCGACCCCAGGGTCAGTGTCCGAGCGCGCCCGGCTGCCGGTGCGGGCAGGAGGAGCCCCGCGTCGATGGCGGCCCAGGGCCAGGCCACGCAGCGGCGGCTGCAGAGCTTGGAGGAGGAGCAGCGCTGTGGAGACGAGGTGGTGCGGCACCCGACGGCGAAGGTGAGAGCGGGGGGCAGCCCAGGCACGCTGCTGGCCCCGCCGCTGCCGCCTGTGGAGCCGCCCGCTCCGCCTGTCCCGCACCTCCGCGCACACGCGGGGCTGCGAGCGCCGTCGTGCGGTACCGAGCAGGGGCTGGAAGCGCGGGAGGGGTCGAGCGGCGGCGAGGAGGGACCTGTGCAGGGGGGGAAATGGGCAGTGCTGGGGCGTGGGGAAAAGCTGCAGAAGGAGCCGTGTCTGGTACAAGCTCCCCCTCACTCCGTGTACCTATCCAGGTACTGAAGTACTGGAAGCAGTGCGAAGCGTTAGAGAAGCAGCTGGAAGTACGAGGGGTGAGCGTGCGGGCTGCCAACTAAAGACGGCAGGCCAGAAAAATCCCATCAAGGATCTTAGAATCCCAGAGTGGTTTGTGTTAGAAGGGACCTTAAAGCTCCTCCAGTTCCAACCCCTGCCACGAGCAGGGACCCTTCCACTAGAAGCCCTGTCCAAGCTTCTCTGGGCAACCTGCGTCAGGGCCTCACCATGGTCACAGGGTAGAACTTCTTCCTAATGTCTAATCTAAATCTGCTCTCTGTCAGCGTGAAAGCGTGCTTTATTGCTGAAGCAGTAAAGCTTGACCCAGGTCTCAGGACAGGGCTACACTGCCTGTTCCGTTCTGTGGTTGTCTTTGGAGAAGAATGAGCTGGTTTCTTTCTAGCCTTCCCATTCTTGGTCTTGCACTGCCTTGCCAGTCTCATCAACTCTGTGCTCTGCTGTTTTTTCTCCTTGACCTCTGTAAGCGGCGAGGAGAAGCAGACAAGCCAACCCAATATGGGTGATAAGCAACTTCTCCTTTATTTGTGACGCAGTTCACACATATATAGGAGTGGTATTCAGCCACTCCTTCTTGGCACAACAGTATTGGTTAGCCCCCACAGCTTCCTCCACATTCTCCTCCCAGGTCCGGTCTCCGGCCACCTGTGGGGGCCACCCCCTGCCTTGCTTGCACAGTCCTCCAGAACTCTATGGTTCTGCTCTTAGAGTCATTCTGCAACAGACCTCCACCACATCATCAGACCTTTGGCCTTCTCTCTGCTTGCTTCTTCTCGCACGTATCTGGAGCCATCTTCCCTGCTCACTGCAGTGAAGAATGGCTCTAGATTGCTTGTTTATGCTCCTTCCCTGCCTATCGCTTGCAGGCCCTAGGAGAAAAGCTTTATGCCAAGGACACCATCAGCATGCTGCAGCACAAGTGCAGACAGCAGGAAGAGGAGTGCAAGAGGCTGCATCAAAGACTTGAGCAATTGGAGGAGGAATGCAGGTCATCCAGGGAGCAGCAGCACCTGCAGGCTCTGACAGATGCACCCAGAAGGTGAGTGTTTCCTCCTCTTCCTGTGTTCTAGAAGCAATCTGCTCCCAATTCTAAGAGTTCAGAGGTGTTACGGGCAAAGAAATCACCTGCCCTACCTCGTGTATGCCTGTTTGGCACTTTAGCATCCCTCTGTCACAGCTTTTCATGCTCTACTGTGAATGCTGAGGCAGGACCAGGAGATTCAGCGTGCTGTTGGAATACAAGAGTCCTCCCTCTCGACATGCTGATTCTCGGAGTGCTTGTTCTTTAGGTGCCCTTTCCTAGCCACTGCTTCTCAGTGAATGAAGGCAAATGCCTGCCTTCCTTACATCTTCCCTCTTCAGTTATCTTGTGAGGGGAAGAGGAAATTTTTCCTTACTGTGCTGCCCACAGCTCCATCCTGGCATGATGAAAATGGGATTCGTGACTGTTCAGGCCTCTTCATTCTTCTGACTAAGCCTTGTCTCTGCCGTGACTGTGCCAAGCTTAGGAAAATCAAGGATGACCTGCAGCAAAACCTTCTAATAATGGAACAGGCTCAGCTGCTAATGCCTCAGTTAGCTTGAAACTTTCCCTTTCCTTAGCCAGCTGAGCTGGTTTCTTTCTAGCTTTGCCATTCGCGTTCGCTGCCTTGCCAGTCTCCCCAGCTGTGTGCTCTGCTGCTTTTTCTCTTTCTCTGCTGACTAAGCCTTGTCTCTGCAGTGACTGTGCCAAGCTTAGGAAAATCAAGGAGGACCTACAGCAAAATCTAACACAGAAGCAAGAAACTTGCAGTCTGCCTCAGCATAAGACTGAACTGCAGCTGAAGGAAAAGGTGGAGCAGCAGCAGGCACTGGAGAGAGTGCATCGTGACCATGGGCACCTGTGAGTTTTAAAGCTTTCTCTGGGCAGGGCTGAGCACTGCTGGGCTTAAGGAGGCCCACCATAAAGATAACAACTTTGGCACGCTTATCATGAGTAGCATAGAAAGGTGAAGGGAGCACCTGGGCAGGTCTGGCTCCCTACTGACACACAGCACAGCTCCTGGCAAAGAGTGCTGCAGCTCTAATCAGAAAATTCCCACATTCTTTAAGTGTACATAGAAAGCTGTTGGAAATCATTCCAACTGTCGTATCTTGGACATAGCTTGTATCTTAGTTTTAGAAAGGAGAACGTTTTCACAGGAAAAACTTAATTGGAGAAATTGCTCCTTCACAGGAATCAGCTGATGCAGGACGATCATGAGCTTACGGAGGCACTGAAGAAGGTACAGTCACCTTATGGGAGAGGGAGATGTGACAGCCAGATCATCCCAGGTGCTGTTTCTGGCAGCTGAAGGCAGGGAAAATGTTCTTCTCCTTGAAAAATGGTGGTCAGAGCACACAGGCTCTTTGGGTAGTTGATCCCCACCACGTTGCGATTGGGAGAGCTGAACTGGGAGCACGTCAGAGACACACAGGGGATGCGGAGCTGCTCCTTGAAGTCGAGGATTTTCCTGTCCAAGCCAGACCTCCTACAGAGGATACAAGTCCCAGAGCTCTCTGGGTGGGCATTTGGCTGCTTGGCTCAGTGAAGCTGCATCTGATGGATTCTGCCGTGGTTTTGTCAAGGAGACGCTTGGTAGTGCTGGAGGTCGCAAGGCTTTGGTTACTTCTTGGAAACGTGTTGATGGCTTGCAGAGCCGTTGTGCACTTCTCTCAGTTGTCTTCTGTCCCAGGCAACCCAGTATGGCTTTACCCATCACTTTCACATTAATGGTGCCAGTGCCTTTTGCCAGCCCAGGGTATTAGAGCACTACTCAGCAGAGGCCCTGAAACTTTCAGCCCCCAGTACAGGAGTTATTACTCAGCCCACTGCTTCAGAAGTTGCACCGCTGCCTCTGCACACAACTGTATTTTGCTCTGTTTTCAGGTTTACCACCAGCAAGATTCGACCAAGCTTGATCTGGAGCAGCTGCTCCAAGAGTCCTCTGGCCAAGTGCACACTCTGGCCAGGATGTCCAGCAAGAAGGAATTGCTGGTGCGCAAGGTGGCTGCCCTAGAGGTGCAACTGTCAGCCTTGGAGCAGGACAGACAAGGCCTTTCAGAGCAGCTGACACAGGCCAGGTAAAGGCAGGGAGGAGACCCTAGGCAGGATGGTACTGAAGGTCTGTAATTACAGAGGTGGGAATCGTTACTTGAGGATTTATTGCATCCTGTGTGCTTTGCAGATATTTTCACCTTCCATGGACAGAAAATGGAAGAATCTTGAGAAAAAAAAAAAAAACATAAGCAAGGAGTACACTGTGATTTGAACGTTATTTTTCTGACAGCTACAGCTAACAAAAGTCTCCTGAGCCTTCGGCTCATGTTTATGCCCCCTTGCACATTCCTGTGTGAAGTCCAAAGCAAGCCAATATAATTCTTCAGTATCTGGTACCTTGGCTCTGCATTGAGTAATAACTCATCCATAGAGATCTTTACTGAAACCGGAAGCTTCTTTCTGGTTTTGGTTTCTTGGTTTGTGTGTTTGAACATAGACCTCTCCTTAGTAAGTCGTTCGACACAGGATGTTCAGAATTCAGGTCTAGAGGCTCATGTTGAAAATCTGGAGGGCACTTCTTACTGGAGTGACTTCCTGTGGGTGTCAGGAGCAAGAAACTCATTTCTCTCTGTATTCACAACTTGAAGGTCAGTGAACGAGACCCTGGAGAACAGCCTATCTGAGGCTCAGCGGCACATACTGCAGTTGGAGATCACCAAGAGCCAGCTGGAAATCCAACTTCAAACAGTCACACAGGCCAATGAACTGATACAAGGTGAGAGCCTCATGTGCTTTGCTTCCCTTGACCCCCGTGGCCAGCGGGCTTTCTGCAGTGCTTCTAAGTGAAGGAGCTGGAAAGAGTTCCCTCCTCCACTGACCTTCAAATGGCTTTAGGTTAGTAAGGCCAGAACCCCTTGCGTAGACTCTGAATCCTCCCATTTGTTGCGTTTGCAGGGGAAGTGAAGTGCCTTAGATGGAAGCTGGAAGCTGAGAGATATCTCATGCAGCAGGAAAGGAAGACCATGGCAGAACAGCTCTCGCAGGCAGAACAGCAGCATGACGAGACTCTCAAGCTTCTGGAAACTGATCACGAAGTGGAAGTAAACAAGCTCCTGCAAGCCCTGGTAGGAAACAATATGCTTCTGACTTCTTCAAGCAAGCTTTGTGGCTTGGCTTTAGAAGAGTAATAGCCTGAGCGTGAGAACTGGCAGCAGGCCCCTCTCACAGGCCACATCTTGCTAGGCCAGGCAGCAGAGCCAATGGCTTGTACTTGAAGGCACATGAAAAGTCATAGGACTATGCTGGAACAGTAAATGCAGCCACAGATTCAGTTCAACAAAAGGCTGGGTGGTCCCCAAGGCATGGTACCAAAGAAGTGGGATCTTACCAGACTCCTGCCTACCATGAAGAAGACTCCTAACAGTGCTGGGGACTGCAGCCAAGCAAACTTTGTTCCTTCCTTTCGTTCTTTCATGGCTGATAGAGGAAGTATCCTTGGGCTTGAAGTATATGGAACAGTCCCCTTGTTCCTGGTACTTTGTTTGTGGCCATGTCTTACGTCAGCGTTGCAAGGCGAAAACTAGTCCTGACTTCAAACACAAAATGACAGTCTGATGTGAGCATTATTCCTCCAAGAGGGCACAGTGGGCTTCTAGAGGATGGAACCATGAAAACACTGCACAGTAGAGATATTAAAAAAAAAAAAAGGCAGAAACCAAGTAGTGAAATGAAACGTCAGGCTTGTTCTCTCTTCCCTTCCCCCCTAATAGAGAGAACATCATCATGCCGTGCTTAAATCATGGTTAGTCTGCCCTTTAAGTCCTGGCTGTAGTCCTTGGTAGCTCATCCCCAAAAGAACAAACAAGAGCTAGAAGGGGTTCAGAGAAGGAAAGAAAGGAAGCTGGGCCTGGCTGAGTAAGCTGGGAAAGAATGAGAAGGGTGGCACAGGAAAGGTCTGCAGGATCCCGAGAGGCAGGGAGAGAGCAGGCAGCCCCTGACTGCCACCGGAGCAGGAGTTGAAATCTCGTATGAAAACCAAACACATACAGATGGAATTATTGAACCTTTTTCTCCCTGTTTTACAGCATGAACGGGACAGGCTGCAAGCAGCGAAGGCAAAAGCTTTGCAGGAGACTCTCACTTACATGATCACCATGCTGTCAGAGAGGGAGGGAGAAACGTTGTGCCAGGAACAGACAAGAACGCCGGAAAAGCAGAGAGAAATGCATGAAACTGCTCCCAGCCAGGTTATCAATGACGTAACGGATCAAAACCCGGAGTCACTACAAAAGCAAAACCAGGAAGCCGGAGAGGCCACGGAAATGCTGTTAAGGGCTCTCCGTGAGCATGTGGAACAGACCTTAAAAACCTTAAAAGAAAAGGACAGACTCCTAGCCATCCAAAGGCAACAAACAAGGAGCTATGAGGAGAAAACAGAAGAACAGATGAATGTCTTGCGCAAAGACTTAGAATACGCTAAGGCAGAACTGAAAGAAAAGGATTTTGTGATCGAATCTCAGAAGGAAGTGATTGAGACCTTCCAAAACCAAGAAAAAGACTCTGAACAGCACAAGAAAATTCTGCTTGAAGTGGCAGTTGAAGTGGCACTAAAGGAAAAAGATCAAGAAACTGTATCCCTTAGAAAGCAATGTGAGGCATGCAAGGAAAAGGAGAAGCAGCACGGAGCTGAGCAAGAAAAACTGCAAGCAACAGAACGGACTCTGAAAAAGAGAGAAAAGAAGATAAGGGCTCTGGAGGAGACTGTCTTGAAGCTTCAACAGCAAAAGAACGAGGCAGTGGTGATGATTAAAACCATACAGCAAAAACTACAACACACGGAGTCTTCTCTAGGCACCCGAGAGAAGGAGATAATGTCTTTACAAAGACATGTACAGGACCTTCAAAAGCAGAAGGAGTTAGCAGGCAAACAGGCCAGGACTCTAGAGCAGAATCTTGAGAAAATGAGACAGAGACTGAAGGAGAACAATTTGAAGTTCCTCAAGCAGACAGAGGAAAGTAACATGTCATCGCTGTGTGGTGATCTGCTTGAGAAAGTAGTGAAGAAGAGAGACACAGACAGGTTTCATCACCAGGTAGGCACTGTGACCGCTCATCAGTCAAGTAAAACATCTATAAAGGATTCTAATGATGTTTCCCGTCAAGAAACTTGAAGGCACATGAAAAGTCACAGGACTATGCTGGGACAGTAAATGCAGCCACAGATTCAGTTCAACAAAGGTTTGGATGGTCCCATCAAACTATGACCTGCTTGGCCAAAAGAGGCCACGACTGCAGCTAGCAGGCTTGCCTGTCTGCATAGCTCCGGCCAGAGCCCATTCACCTGCTAGAATGGTTTCTGTCAAGCCCACAGGTACTGAAAGAACTACAGAGCTTGTTGTTCAAATGAACTCAAGTCCAAAAGTTGGGGGTGGGTACTTGGCCCTCTCCTGTCTAAGCAACCTTGGCCAACATGTTGTGGTTAGGACTTGGCATGTGCCAAAAATGGTTGAAAGAAAATGCGTGTGGATTTCTCCAAGGTGATGTGGAGGAGGGCCCCTGGGAAGAGATTTTGTTGTGTTGGGCTGGAGGGGAAGAAGGGACTTAGCACGTTCTAACCTTTGTGTGGCACCAGCTCACGTAACCTCCTCTCTGAATACCCAGCAGGCTATTGCAGAAGGAGTGCAGCAATCGTGGCTCTTGGAGAAGAAGCTCCTGTTGCAACAGCTGGAAAGTTTGCAGCAAGAAGTTGCAAGGCTGAAACTTGCCAACACTGAGCTGAAGGAATTCAATGCTGAACTCAAGAAGTCTCTTGAGGAGGTGAAACAGGCTTTCCCTGCCCACGCTAAGCCTCACAGTCTTCTGGAGCACCACACGTCTCCACAG